CCCCCACCTGAGCGGGGGAGGGGGCGTCAGGACCCCCCCCAAAACTGACCCGAGTTGTCCCCTCCCCCCACCCTGAAGCCCCTTGGGGGGGGATTTTGGGATGAGGAGGGGGCGTCAGGAGCCCCCAAAACCGCCTGGAACCGCCCCCGCACATTCCCAGGAATCCCCAGGTCGGGACTGGGGAATTCCCGGCGGGATTTCCGGGAATTCCGGACGGGATTTTGGGGAATTCCCGGCGGGATTTCCGGGAATTCCGGACGGGATTTTGGGGAATTCTGTTGGGGATTTTTTGGGAATTCCGTTGGGGATTTTGGGGAATTCCCGTCGGGATTTTTGGGAATTCCGGGAATTCTGCTCGGGATTTTGGGGAATTCCCGTCGGGATTTTCAGGAATCCCGTGAATTCCGTTGGGAATTTGGGGAATTCCCGTGAATTCCATTGTGGATTTTTGGGGTATCCCGTGAATTCCGTTGTGGATTTTTGGGAATTCCGTTGTGGATTTTTGGGAATTCCGCTGTGGATTTTTGGGGAATTCCCGTGAATTCCGTTGTGGATTTTTGGGGAATTCCGTTGTGGATTTTTGGGGAATCCCGTGAATTCCGCTGTGGATTTTTGGGGAATCCCCGTGAATTCCATTGTGGATTTTTGGGGAATTCCCGTGAATTCCGCTGTGGATTTTTGGGGAATCCCCGTGAATTCCATTGTGGATTTTTTGGGGAATCCCCGTGAATTCCGTTGTGGATTTTTGGGGGGGGGTCCTCACCCGGTACCCCCTGAGGTGCCCCCGCAGGTCGCGCTCGGCTCCCCCCAGGCTCCAGCTGAGCCGGACGCTGGTGCTGTTCAGGATCTCCACCCCAACGTTCTCGGGGTACACCAGGGGCACTGGGGGGGGGCCGGGGGGGGGTCGGAATCAACCCCCAGACCCCCCTCCCCTCCCCCATTCCCAGGAATTTCCCCCCCTCCTCAAAATCCCCCCGAGCCCCGGCGCCGAGACCCCTCCCCAAAGCGGGACTGCCCCCCCAAAATGAGGCCCCGGGGTTGGGGTCCCCTCCCCCACCTCGGGACCTCCCAAAATTCCCAGATTTGGGGTCTCCCCCAGATTTGGGGTCTCCCCCAGATTTGGGGTCTCCCCCATTCCCCACCCACCCGGGGACATTCTGGGGAGGGGTCCCGGGGTAATTTGGGGAGGGGTCCCAGGGGATATTTTGTCCCAGGGGGATATTTCGGGGATGGGGTCCAGGGATATTTTGGGGCGGGGTCCCGGGGGGATATTTTAATTTGGGGAGGGGTCTCAGGGGGATATTTTAATTTGGGG